CAATTAACATTACTAGTAAACCCTTAATTCAGTAATTTAACTCTAATCCTATACATTAAAATTGAAAATTGGAAACCAAACTTACAAAACACTCGTCCACTCAACTAATGAACCAAATTAGATTCGTCGGCCCTCTGTTGCATATACCTCAACTTCAAACTTTAGTAATCAGCAACGAAGTCTACCATCTTGTGAGCACACTCCCTGGGTTGTTCTGCGTCCATTGACTTCAAACCATCTTCTCTGTATAATTCAGCAAAACCCAGATACATTATACTCGATTGCATTTTCTTTATAATATTATTTAAATATATGATGCGTGGCCCGAAAAATGTGATTTTTAGTCTGTTTTGCTTCCTAATTTATGCATTCTTTAGTTTTTCTATGTTCATAAGAAATAGAGAGTCAAATTATTAATTTGGTTACAGAATTAATGTGGCTTTTTGCTGATGTTATTCATGAAATTTCAGAATTCAACATATATTTTGGGTTATATTGTTTGTGAGAGCTTGATAATTTACCAATCCAGTAGGAAAGAATTATTTTTTTTATTTCTGCTTTCATTTTTCATATATCTGTCAAGCAATTTTTATTTTTATAATTATTGTCATTTGCATTTCTCTATTTTGCATTTGGAAGTGGGGATATTGTTTGCATTTTCATTTGGGATATTGTTTGCTAAATTGGCTTAGTACTGTGTTTTTATTTTTATCGACTTTTTTTCATATTTTTTTTTTTTTTTTGCAACTTGACGGTTGGAGTTTAGACTTACAAAAAATAAATTTTCGTGGTTATGGTGTGACAAAAAATTTGGTGGTGCGATTATGGTTTTGACCGAACCGACCCTGAATCGAACCGTTGCCATCCCTATTCTTAAACAACTGACATGTAAGTGTACATTCTTTGTTTTACATCCCTGCACACTCCATTGAAGTTCAAAAAGTGTTGGCGAAAGTGTTTTTTTTTCAAAAATGTCAAATCATGTATCGCCACATGACACAATATAAAAAATGATGTAAAGAAAGATGTACATACAACATGATTGTTATGAAAAATATTTTCATGTCAAATCAAGAGGACCCACAAGCTGTACATTTTGTCTAGGTAAAAGATCATAATAAAAACCAATTTTCCAATTTTACCCCATTTCCTTGTTTTAACTAAAAAGAATTGTAATTTTTTTTTTAAAAAAAGATAATAAGGTGCGCCTAGACGCGCATTAGCGATCAACGGTAAATAAGGCGCCAAGCCACTTGGCCTAGCGTTTTCGCTTCGTATCGCACCTAGACGCTTTTTAGAACACTGCTGAACGGATATCTAAAATGGGTTCCAAACAAAGGCTTAAATGAAAAAGTTGTCCGAATGAATATTGTCGCGGAGAAAATAAACCGCGAGTTCAAACCTCAAACATAAGCACGAATCTTGCAGCATTGATAACCAAATCAGAGAGAATACCAACTATTGCACTTGCCTGGGTTCAACGAGCTCAAGTTCTCATCGTTCTGGTGTCATAACAAAATCTTGTGACCAATTTTCCATCAATTAATTCTGAACAATATATATTCGCATGTACAATCTACAAAGGAAATACTTTCTTGTGCCTAAAATAAATCAAGAAGGCAAAGTACAACATTCCACAGAATCCTCCAGTTATGATAAGAACCCAGTAAAATGTAGACGGGTTATCAAAGGTTGAATCCTCGAAGTTCATTCCATAAACAGCAGTTACAACAGCAAATACAGTAGCTACGAAAGTAGCAGCCGTCAGAAGCAACTCAAATTGGATCAGCTGGTTCTGAACATTTCCCTGTTTACAAATATAAAACAAGTAAATTTTGTCTGCACTGCATATTGTTAAAGATAAGAAATCTAATCATGATTATTGCCTTTCGATCCATACCAGCTTTATGTTGATCAAATCCTCCGTATCATCGATATACTCTTTAAGCTGCAACGCCATGAAATATGAAAGTAAAATTACTTGCGCCTAAGTGTCAATCATGTAGTAATGCGAATTATTTTGACTTATTTTGAACTAATTGTTTGTAGTACAGCAATGTTGAATGTGTACTTCGATCACTTGTTAAAGCCACCAGATCTATGAATGAAGTGCTCTTTCTTAAGAAGCCAGTGCAACTTAGTTACTTAGGCCTACAGAGTACGCTTAGTCAAAATCAAATCATGAATGTACAAATACATTCCCAGTGTCAAACTTTAAAAGGATATTTTGCGAGGTGGTCGTGGCCAAAGAGTAATCAAGCCTAGAGAGCCTCTAGATTGACAAAGGAAAAAATGTCAGTTAATTATATGCACTCAACCTATTGCCAGAGTGGCAAGTTGTACAATCATCCCTAATGACCAAAACTGTCCAAATTTTCACTGAATTGTCAAGTGGCCATCATGAAAACATGCCTCAGAAATTTTTGAGCACTAGTCCAAGTTGAGAAACGAAACCTTGACTTTATAAATTTGAACATGTAAGGGTCGCATGATCTTAAGAGATTACCCTGTGCAACTACAATCAAAGATTGAGGACCAACTTGCTCCTTTTCAAAAGTTGGGAACAATGGTGCAATTTTTTTCCTTAGTTTTAACTACTTTTATTTAAGACTTGTAAACAATATACTGGGAAGAATGGTCTGATAATGGGTTTCTCACCGATAGCAACTTGTTGAGTGTGTTGTCAGTGACTATAAAGTATGCTTCCAGTAACATTTCAAGTTGATCGATGTTTTCTCCACCACTAGATGAACTTAGGAAACTTCCATGTTTACTAGAACTAATGCTGCTGAAAGCTCTTTGCAGTTTCCGCACTCCACTACATGATCCCACTGGAGAAACGGGTGCAGAGTTCGATACAACCCTTACATTTTGAGAAGTGCTGATTTGATCATATAGGTCACTCCTGGCCAGCACCTCCCTCCTTTCTTTCTTCTCCGTTAAATACATCTCAGCCATATCTCCATCATCATCCATCAAATGTTCGATTTCATCACAAACCTAAGAATTCAAGATAAAAGCTGATGAGTACAAAAAGCCGCTTAACATATATTCTAATGCACAAATCCATGGTCTTACCTTTTGTACTCTCTGGGTCAAGGCAAGGAGGTGGCCCTTGAATCTACGCACCCGCTCTAGATTGAGAGTGCTTATTGATGACGCTAATTCATCAAGTACTGGATATATCTCCATTTCTAGTTCTTTCACCTACTAAATGCATAAAGTTCAAAGCAATGACTTAGCTCACACATTCTTTAGTGCATGTTCGGTACCCAATATTGAGTATGACGTGTGCTATCCAATCCTCCCTATCACACATTCTTTAGTGCATGTTTGGTACCTAGTATTGAACATGACTCGTGCTATCTAATCCTCCCTACCAAAGATGCTATTAGATTGCTTATTTTGTTTATGGGGAGTTATACCCAAATATAGATACCATTCAAACAAGTGTACATCATATATAGCATTTCATCTTTCGGTAACCATGTTTGTGGATGTGAAGATTGGTAGTGGAGTTAGGGCAGAAAAACCACATGTAGTAATCCTCAAATCAAAGATAGGAGAAGATGAGCCATTTTGGAAACGACTTGAGTGCACAAAGAATAACGAGATTAAAACAACTGAAGGAAAGGCTTTTCATTTCCTGAATGTAAATTTGGGAATCAGAAACAACAGATTTCCTACAGAAATCTTCATAACAAATATACAGTGAAAACACACTCCCCGCGTGGAGCAACCTCCACAATGAGTCATAGAAGATCTCAGATACCCATAGGCTAATTAAGACAAACTCTAGGATCCATTTTCTAGACAAAACTAGAAATCTCAAACAAAAACTTTCACTTCTAGTGCTTAAAACAGATAGTCACGTACCTGAGTATCAAGGGACGTACATGTTAGTTCCAAAGCAAGCTCCAATGCCTTGAATTCGAAAGGCAGCTCATCTGAATAAAATCAGGCACATTGTGAGCAACTCCAAGCAACTTAACTTTATAGTTATAGCAGGCTGAAATGCTGTATTGAATAATCATCAGTATCAAGAAAAAAAATTCATTGATGAAAAAATCTTTGCACATTATCAACTGTTACATGAAAAGAAAATAGAAAGAAAAGACCAGTTCTATTTCCATAGATCTATTCAGTCTGGAAGAGGAGGACCACATGTACTGACCAATATATTGGCCCTTACAACTAAATATATGTTAAAAACAGTTTTATTTTATCGTTGCTAGTGCCATAATCACAAATGCTCTTGTGAAGAGATTTAAATGATTCTTAACATATTCTAAACATATAATATTCATATGCTTTCTTCTCTCTCTCTCCTCTTGACGTAGTTCTGGAGGTAAGCCTTGTATGTTTCCACCAACTGTATTACTTCTCGGTGTAGGGGATTCTGCCAAACCCCCTTCTAGTTGTAAGATTGCTCCTAGATTTAGACGAATTTATATCTATTTAATTAAAAAAATCCCAAAGTATTCAATAATTGATTGATTCATATTAAGCTTAAACTAAAACAGAGGTGATATTAAATGCTTGTTACCTGAACTGTGAACTCTGATTTCCGAATTTGTTTTAATATAGAAAATACAAGCAATATATACATGCATTCAAATTTCATATCTAATTGTAAATATTGAATAAAATAAAAGAGTTATAGGAGAAATTCATTAAATTATTGTCAGAATAACACTTTTTAAGTCATGGAATAAGTTAATTCTATAAGATTGTATTGATGATTATGTGTTAACAACTTTATAGGAGACCAATCAAGAGATCATTCTTCAATTTGTTAGAACCTATGATGGTAAAATCAAAGAAAGAAAGCACCAGAAAATAATAAAACCAATTTATACTCTACGAATTACATTTACCAGAAAAAAAACGTGGATATACGGTCAGGCTACTATCAGACGAATTCACGAAGAAGACGAACCAAATATGGCCTATGTGACAATAAACGGGCCTTAGACTTTATGCTTATGCCTTCTGGACTCCCCAATGTCCCAACACAGGGCACCTTAAAGCTAGATAAGAAGCAAGGCAGGTGCGAAGTAATGGACAATTTGCAGACTGTAGATCTAGAAGGTTTTAACTTTTAACCTATTGAAAATGGACCATTTTTCCTCAGTTTCTTGCTTTTCTTAGTTTTCCTTTCTTGATAAGTAAAAGAGAGAGAAAGAATCATGGAAGGCAATGTTTAAAACTCGGTTTCCCACTAAGATTTTCACATTTTACATCAATACCTGTTGCTGTGAGAAACATAGACATTTCCATAATCTTGTGGTCAACATGTACAACCACGTTCCATGTACAGAAAGAAGTGTCCTGTCTAACACTGGTACATGCATTTAGAGATTTACAGCAAGTCAGTAACCTACTTTCTTGTTCCCTTTTTATATTAACTTCTCCCTGGAATTTCTATCAGGCTGATTCATGTTAATTTTAGATCAATGGAAAGGAATAACGAAGGTGCAAAAACAATAACCTGTACTTCTCATTGACTGGTATAGTTTTGAAGGATTGCTGGTTAAACTAGTAATAAGCAGTGGTTAATCCTTGAGAACATATGTAACAGAAAACCATTATATGTATCTCTCTAGATGATGAAGAAATACTTCCATTTCCGATCAATTAGATGCGGATAATTCTCTCACTATAGAGAATTCAATAGACTTCTAAGAATTTTTTTTGGATTCAAGTTCTTACTTTCTATCCACTTTCTTTTCAGTAATATTATCAAGAATACTAATATTTGAAATTTATCTCAATGTTCCAAAGACATAAAGAACACAATTTCACGAAGAGATCAAGATTTATTACTTAGTGGTGCATAGGAGCAAAATGCGCGTCAGTTGCTACCTTTTTAATTTCATCATTTACAAACTAAACTATTTTACCAGGTTGATCTTTAGATGTCTGAAGGCGTCTGCACAATTCAGACTTGTACTGTAGCACAGACCCATCAAGTGAGTTCATTAGTATAACCTCATCAGCTGTGATTATACATCTAATCTGTTCGAGACTAATGACAATAGCCTTCTCTCGACCTAATATCGTGTAAGAATAGATAAACATTGGGTCCAAAAGCCTGAGATCTCGAGAAGGTAAAGAGCAATGCCTCATTACGGTAAACTTATCCAGTTCCAAAACTTTTGAATTGCCAGTCTGATCAATCTTTATCCAAGAACGACTTCCAAGATTATGACCTCTCTTCTTAAAGCCAGAAAAACTAGGTCCATGAACGTTATGATTCCCATGTCTATCTGAATGAAATCTTACTGGATTGAGAGAAGCGGCAGATTCAGGAATATCAAAAATGACAGAGGGAGCTCGGGATTCTGCCATTTGCTTTCACTTTTTTTCTCCTTTAGTTCAGCCAGAGTTTGAAGAGTTCTCTTCATCAGTAAAAACCAAAAGCTGTACAAATTCTAGATATTACTTATGTAATGCAAGCTGAGACTTTAATCCAGCAATTCTTAGAGCTCTTTGTATCAGCTATACCCATCCTTCTTTGCTGTGGATCCTAGAAAATGAAATGAAAAAGTGAACAAACCAACAACCATCACAAGATTTGACTTAATATTTTTTTATAATCTAAAACAAGAAGCACAATACGATACACGTAAAATTGTAGCACAGTCTAAATACCTCCAGAACTCAGAAGTTTATATATAATATATCCTTCTTCTTTTTTGGAAAAAAAAATGTACCTCTAAATCTCTCTCGTGTTAAGATTTCTTCCATAATGAGAATTACAGATATATCCACTTCAGTTATACAGATAGGACGTGGGCAAATTGGAAACTCGGTAATCTTCTTTTGAATCATAGCCATATCAAAACAAAACAATTAAAATATCAGTGAAAATAATTCCAGTCGAACATGTTGTTTGCTGGTGTTTTTTTTAATTTCCAATTATATTTAAGAAGGTTGTGCGTTTGACTTAAGAACCAAATTTGGTGTCATATCAATTTAATTCTTCAAAATAGATACTTCCCAAAAAAATGATAATATTTAGCCCCTCGTTTGTAGAGTTTCTATAAAATTCATATCCTCCTGTAACTCATTTTTAGCCACACATTATCCCCAAAAATCACTTTTCACAACATCTATTCTTCAAAAAATCTACATCAAACAGGGTTCTTATTTCCGTTTCCAATTACAATTTTTAAGAAGTGAAGTGAAGTTCCCTTGCAGGTTGGGGGTGGGAAGTCATATTATCAGACAAATTTAGTGGACAAGGCAAAATCTGAGCCTTAAATTTAACTATGCTCTAAATTTATATCATACGTATATAAAAACATCAATTTTGACAACTCAACTGGAATCTACAATGCATTACATCCCACAAGGAACCTTTAAAAACCCCAATAATCACAAATTATCCAACAAGAAGTGAAAAACAGCAAACTCCTCAGATTGATACTACTAATGCCTAATTTTCATAAGAACCATATTTTTGCGTAAATTCCATTAATATCATGTGTTGATTGCATTGAAACTGACACAGTGCCCCTCCCAGCAACAGATTTTCGTCTTTACACGCTCACAAGAATTAAAAACACATTATATGCGCATAGAACCGCATAATTGTTATAAAGATTGTACCTTTCTTGACGAAATTCTGAATCTTCTTAGGGGGTTCTTTCCATACCTTCACTGTAACAGAGAGATTAAGATGAGTTTTCGTTTACGACTTACGAGAGATTTCTTTTGTGTGTGTGTGTGTGAGAGAGAGAGAGAGAGAGAATTTAGTACCAGAAAATTTTACAGGTTTTTTAAGGTTTTTATTTTTAATAAAAGAATAAAGTTCATTTATTTATAGGTAATATTTTTTGTTTAAATTACTGTATTATTTTACATGTGATCATATTAAATTATAATTTATTTTTCTCTTTTTTTTATCAATTACCTATTTTTTCAATAAAATAATATTACGCATAAATTCAAAAAATTCATTATTTTTTAATCATATATTCTTAAAAAAATATTATTCAAAAATCAATTTTTTTTCCAATGATGAAACTCAAAGGCATACATTTCGTTAAATATTATATTGTAATAAAGGAATCGTTGACTATCAAATATCAGACATTCACAACCTAACTTTTTTTTTTGAGAATTTTGCATCCTTGGTCCTTAACCTTATATATAATTGCTCAATCATTCCTAGCGTTAAGGATAGTGTCACTAGTTGTCAAATTGTCACGGTCATATCATCAAACTTTATAAAACTAGGTTTTTTCTATTGCTTTAGCCCTCGTTTGGTATACATTAAATTCTATATTTTAATTTAAGTCAAAGTTAACAATTCATTTTAAACTAGGTTTTTTCTATTGATTTGACCCTCGTCTGGTATTCATTAAAATATATATTTTAATTTAAATTAAAGTCAACAATTCATTTCAACCACATATTTATGGATTCTACGACTTTTCAACCACATATTTCATCAATTTCTATTGAAATTTACTTAAATTTTGATTTTAATCCCCGCCAAACAACGGCTTGAATTGACATCGAAACAGTTGAGGTGGGATATGCTTGCATGGTAATGAGCCATAATTCATCATTTCACTCTACACTTAGCACATATTTGCTATTTTGTCTTTCAAATTCCATTTATGGCGTTCGTGATAAATCATAAGTACATAATATTGCAACAAGTAACAAAATAATTGTCCCACAATTATTGTTTAGTTATCGAGCATCGAAATTGTTTTAACCCTAGCTTTCTTTGATCAAGTGATTTGTGAAACTGTAAACAAAAGTGCAAAGTAATTACAAGACAGTTCAGGGAAATTGAATGATTGAGTTACTATGTTTCCGATTTGACATATGCTCATCCACTTTGATACAACCTATTACGCAATTGAGGGTGTATTTGACCCACATTATTTTGAAAGAATATATTTGAAATAGAAGATTGATGGCAAATATGTGGTTGAAAAAGAAGGAAAAGTTATTGATGTAATGAAAATTATTATTTTAATGAAAAATGTGTGGTTGAAAATGAGAATGTAAATTTTAATGTGGAGCAGGGTTTGAATGTATTTTTTATGTTGATAATCGAATGCCCCCAATTTATTTTAGGAATAATTGCAGCAAAAGTCTAAAGCCTTAAAAATATTAGCAGACTTTTCCCCGAACATTTGATTTGTTACAACCGTTATCTCTAACATTTCCAAATGTTGCAGGTGAAACCCCTTTGGAAGGTTTCCATCAACAATTCAGTCAATTGACCAAAAATTTAACTTTGACCACATTTTCAATATTTTAAAAAGGGACAAAATAGTAATTTTATATTTATCCCATTAAATAATTAAATAAAAATAAGAAATTAAAAAAAAAAAAAAACACTCCTCCC